CTCTCTCTCTCTCTCTCTCTCTCTTCCCCTCTCTCTCTCTCTCTCTCTCTCTCTCTCTCTCTCTCTTTCTCTCTTCCCCCCTCTCTCTCTCTTCCTTTTTAGTTTCTTTTTTTTTCTTTTTCTCCCTCCCTACACAAGACACATTGTGAAACATCACTCTTTGAAATGAATGAAGAACAAGGAGTTTGCTTATTCTGGTGCTTTGCAGCAATCTGTTGACTGTAAAATAACAGGTGAATTTGAAGTGCCGTTATTTTACAACAAAAGCAAACTGCTTTTAGCAGGATGACTCATCAGTTCGCAAAAGATCAACTTTTTTAAGAGTAAATGTTGAAAACTTAATGCTTGCATAGTTTATCCACCTCAGCATAAAAGCAACGTTTCTTGTGTTTCTGATTCATCAATGCCTTTGACATTCAGAATTAGTACTTTCCTTGTTTTGCTGTTGTGGCCGTGCTACTTGGTTCTATTTTAATGCCAACTACATTTGCAGTACTTAAATGAGCTTCTGTGTCACCCAGCAATACAAGAACTGATGGGTTATCCATAACTTTCCTCAATGTTCTGCTGATTGTTTGGTCATACTAGACCCAGCAGGTTTGAAATTGATGGATTTATGGGGCAAAAAATCTGTATTTTTTCCTACCGGACCTCAACTATTAACATCTGGTTAAATATCAGTCCTATTGTGCCCCAGTAACATGTTTCCAAATTGGACAAAGATCTACCATTGATTTAATGTAATCGTAGAACTAATTGAAGGGGTTAATGGCTGAATCTAATTTTGTAAAACATAAAGCCCAATTCTTGCATTTTTGTTCAGATTGAATAAACCCTTCACCTTTTAGTAAAGGATAAAAAAAATGGTCAAAGGGCCAGTTCATTCAGCATCCATGTTTCTTTTAACATTCACCCTAACTGGGTCATCCTCCCATTGTTTGGGGCTCTTCTGCCAGTAATGACTAGTTTGAGTTTGGCATGTCAAAGATTATATCAAAGATCTTTGAACTTTTAACTAGCAAATAACTTTTAGGGCTGCAAGGTATGGGTTTACTAGCTACAATACCACATACATTTTATTAATGGCAGTGTTGGGTGGCAGATCTGGATAATGCAGCCAAAAATATATGGATGGAGATAGATCTAGATATATATTAAAATGGTTTTTTTTTTTAACAGGTTTGCATTGTTTGAAAGAATTTCCCTTTTAACTATAGTTATTTGCTATTTTTCTCTCATCAATTGAGGGAGACGGCTCTGAAGAATTCTGAAATGCAGGGGTTATGCTGCTGCCTCCAGGAGAAATGGACATTAGGCAAACAAATAAAAAGCCTGTCAGTTAAGGACATAAAAACCTCACACCTGTCAGTTTCGTGTAGTGTCCTCATGACAATGTATGTCTCCTTCTGCTTTATTATTTTAGTTTTTGTTCATTAAATATTTTACTACCAAGAGCTGCTAGTTGATTCATACCGGATATTATTAAATCCTGGGAGTCTCCCTAGCTAGCAGACATAACTGAGATATTCATGCCAGATAAGTTTTTAAATCCTGGAAGTTTCTCTAGTTGTCATGAAGCACTTAATTTCTGGTCTCAGTACTTATGCTTCCTCCTGCGATGGTCGTGAAGCAGGTTGTTTCTGGTCTCTTATGCTTCATCCTGTGCTCCTGTTTTCATCATTTAACAGTCAGGACAGTATTATCTGGGGATTTCTGTTATGTCGGCAACAGGGCCATGGAGTCGGGAGTGAAAAATGTATTTACATCATGTTTATAAGTTTGGGCGTTTTCCCTCTTTTTCATTTTAGACTCCTCTTTGGCTAAATGCTTTTATGTGGAGTTTGAGTGTATTTCAATTTCCCGCTGTCTTTTTAAGAGGCCGGGACTTTAAGTTGATGACTCACTTGTTTTCTTCTTTTCAGGGCACTGTATGAAAGTGATTTTTTTTTTCCCCTTCTCTTATTGCTGGTTTTATTGCAGAAATTTGAGACATATGTGTTTTTTACATTGGTGTCACTCATGTTTCCGGTTCTTCCAGTCACAAGTGGCTACATTACAAGGGCTGTGAGATGTGCTATAGTGACCTGTGCTTGTTGCACTTTTATCCATTTCATAAGTTGGCCACATGAGCTCTCCTCTTTATTCCTGCTCATGCTTACTGGAAAAAAACTGAAACTGTTTATTTCCCTCCTCCTCCTTCTTTTCCTTGGATACTGATGAAGTTTTCACTCAGTACAGAGCAGCAGGCCTCTTGAAAGTTATACAGCGGCCAGGCACTTATATATAGGTGCCTAGGGGGGCGCACTCTTTCCTTCCTTGATTAAGGAACATGACACATAGATTCAGCTCATGAATACAATACACCTAATGTATGCTTGTCATAAACACTATGCCATATCATTGATGCAGTAGTTGGCCTGTAACGGATTCACTCAGCAACAGAAAGTAACGATTGCTTTCTTCATTGAGGCTGTGCGTTCCTTAAAATAGGAGGAGTCTGATGTTATTTCTGCTTCTGTGATTTCTAGACAAGATTTACCTAAACCTGAGCGTGTCTGCAAGGTTATTCCTCTCATCCTTGTTTTTATATAAGGCTTGAGAAATTCCAGTTCCAGCTATTTCTGGTTCCTAGATGTTTTGAGTTTTTATATCCTTTTTCCAGATTTTGTTAAAAAAAAAAAGCTCTATTCCTCCTGAAGTTGATCCTCCAATTTCTTATCTTAACAAGGTGTTGACTGTTCCCATTGATGATGTTCCTTTGTTTAAGGATCCTACTAACAAAAAATTACAGGCTCTTTCTTGTATCATTTATTGTTTAAAGGCAAGTTCACACCATTTTCCGGACCAGATATGCTCCAGATCTGGTCCGGAAAATGGTGTGAACCTGCCTGCAGTTCCAGTGCAGAAATAGCATAGGGACACATTAGGAAGCATTTTGGGTCTGGAAACAATCTGGTCTAGAGATGATCCGGATGAGGTGTGAATGGGCCCTAACGGTCCTTATTTCCCAGAATTTGGCTACTACAATGATGATTGTTGCTTTTCATTTCATATGTGATGTGTTTCTTGATGCTTGCCGCCTGTTGTCTTGTGTGTCTGTCTCTTCCATTCGGATACGTAGAGCTTTATAGTTTACTTGCTGATCGTCAGATCCCTAACGCAAAAGAGGACTTTTGCACTTGCCCTACGTGAGAGGTTGTCATTTTTTCGTTTTTGTTTCTCCCAGAGGCAACAGCATAGCCCCTGTGTCTCAGAATTCTTCAGAGCTGTGTCCCTCAATGGACTCCGAGAAAAGGATTTTACGGCAACAACAAATCCTATTTTTCTCTTGTAGACAAATGTGATGACCGAGTTAAGGAAATGGAAACTAACAATAATCGAGAAGCACAGACTGGAGATGAAGCAGCAGAGTGAGAAGCATGCTGAGCACATTACCCATCTGAGCAGCCAAATAGACAACCTTCAGGGCTTACTGCAGACCTATGAAACATCTATACGCAGGAAGGATGAGGTAACAATGGTTCTGTGTAAATCTAAGAGTGGTTTGTATAAGCACATGTTAATTAATGGCAACAGATGTTTATGAAAAAATATCTGGAGCTTATCAGAACTAATGATTTGTGATGCAAATGAAAGCAACTGTTCCACTTGTACGGACACATTGAACATCAAGGAATACCTGGCATGGACCGCAGCCAATTCTCTGTTAAAGGGCCCAGTTACACTATATCCAGGGCGTTCTGGCATGGTTAGAGCCCAGAACGCACTGGATCGAATAGATCAAGCCGGGCAGCAGCTGTGCCATTCATGTCAATGATTCTGCAAGCACGCCTCCCACCTGCAGTGCCATCGCCCGCTCCGGTACGCGAGGTACAGGAATGCTCCCTTTGATCTCCTCTCCTGTCCCCGAATGCAGGAAGTGATGTATATTACATCACTTCCACATTCCTATGTCACTCTCTGGTACAGAAGCCGGACAGAAGCTGATGAAGCAGATCTCTGCTTCATCAGCTTCTCTGGGGGTCCCTAGGTGACATCAGGGGTCTTGGAGACCCCTGATGTCTCCATAAAGATTACCTGTCATGTGAATTGGCTATCTAGGGGGTTTCTTAGCCCCCTATGTCATAGCAATAAAGTTAAGTGTAAAAAAAAATGTAAAGCATTAAAAAAATAAAGAAGCTAAAAAAAAAAAAGTCACAAATTTAAAAAAATGTACAATAACACAAGCATTTTTTTTAAAGTTGCCGCGAACATCGGAGTGCCAGCAATAATTTTAGGGCCATTATTCACTGATAACATGAAACTGATGATCTGTAAAAGCTTTTAACGCATGGCCCATGTGCAATTTTGGCTGGGGTCGTTTTCTGCGATTTCACGGGTGCGCGCAGTTTTAAGGCTTGACATGTTTGGTGTCTATTTACTTGACGTGACCCCGTCTTGAATATTTTACCAAAAAATTGGGGTGATAATAAATGTTCCATAACATTTCATTTTCAAAATTTAGGGTACTTTTTTTTGCTGTATAGTAAAAAATAAAACCCCCCAGTGGTGATTAAATACCACCAAAAGAAAGCTCTATCCCTAAAAAATGGTATAAAATAAGTTTCAGTACAGCGTTGCATGACGGAATAAATGTCAGTCAAATTACTGCAGTGCTGAACACTGAAAAATGGCCTGGCCAGGAAGGGGGTTTAACACCGTGGACTTCAAGTGGTTAACACACTTAAGCTGGCCATACACTGCTCTATATTTTCCCTTCAACCCGCAGGCTGACCGAAAAAATATATAGCCGATTCCTCTATCAATGCTGCAAGCGTGTTGATTGCGGAATCCCTGCTGTTTCCTTTGTAATCTGACAGCGGCTGCCGGCCCATTAACTGCTGGTTCTGTTCATATGGAGATTATTCGACCGACTCCTTTGATCAGCTGATCGAGGGGTGTCGGCAGCACCACCCACTGTGCAAATATCAGCTGCTTCCTTAAGAACCGGCCGCAATTCGCATAGTATTTGGCCACCATTACTGTCTAAAATAACATTGCTCACAAAACTTACAAGTGGAGAAGCGGCATTGTCACCCTTGGACAGGGCTGCAGAAACTCCCCTCCTCTTCTCTATAACATAGAGGGGAGGCATTCTGTAGCCCTCAGAGATAACTGAGAACTATGTTACTGATAACAGTGCTGCACGGGATGTTTAAAAGCTGAATTTTAGCAACATCAACAAGTTTTTTTGTTTTTGGAGTTTTTTGCACTTGTTGAACAGATCTACCAAAACGTTTTTGAATGTACATATATTTTACAAACCAAATAAGAGAAGTCCAATGTTAACCTGGATATACCCTATCAGAATTATTTTTTTTTTCCTGCTTTCGGGGTGAAGAGAGGCAGAGCCAGCGGGGTGGATCTCAACAGTATTGTCAGGATCCGTTCTGGCTGCTGCGCTCTCAGCATATAGCAGGCCCGCTGTATGCTGAGTTTTGGGTCACCGGAGGACACAGTATATGTTCTCCTGTGACTCTTAAGAGAACTATGGGATAAAAAGGTTACCCCGTAGTTCTCCTTTTTAATAGGGAACATACCTGAGCTTTCAGTAGGAATTCCAGATCTAAATCTGCTTTTATATATGTGGAATCTGCTCCGTTGCCTTTCACAGGACATTGGGAAAAGACCACAAGATCAGAAAATGTATGAAACGTAACCCAAAACAGGTTATCAAGCCTAGAGCTTCCTTAGGGCAGCCTTTGGCAGACATAACAGAGCAAATACATACATTTAAGGTTTTAATATTCGGTTCTGTGCATGCTTAGCTATGCATATGTTGAATACATTAGCTAATGTTAAGTTCGAACTTGTTTTTCAGTGAATGGAACACGATGTCTCGATACAGTGAAGAGCACCGTGTGTCATTTATCTTTGTCTTGACAGAACACTCTTGATTAATGTGTTTACAGTGACGCTTGTCTCTGGATGAGTAAATCCGCGTGTAGCTTCAGCTTCTCCCAGACACCTGAATTTGACAAATCCTCTGTGTTCATTATATAGCTTCAGATCCCCATTTAATGAACAAGTAACAAATAACCATACGACTCTGGATTTAATGAACGAGTAGCAAATAACCATACGACTCTGGATTTAATGAACGAGTAGCAAATAACCATACGACTCTGGATTGAGTACATGTAAGTGTTGGTAGTTGTTGTTCCCCTACAGCCACCTTATGAATAGATGAGAACATTTGTAGGGTCAGTGTCCTAATATTCGGCTTTGGTTACATGCTGGCAAGTGGGGGCCCCTACCGCCTGCTTGTATCTCTCAGCAGGGTCTTTTAAATTAAGCTCTCAGCTTTCCCACCTTCTGCAGCCATTATAAGTGTGGCTTACGGCACATTGTCCTACACTTGGTGCACAAGCAGGGATCAGCATTGCAGTTATAGCTCACTAGGTACTACAGAAAGACAACCTATATTTTCCTAATGTAGATATGCGTACACCTCTCTTACAAAGAGGGGACTTAGACAGTGAAGATAAATGCCATGAGACCCAGTGCTTTTTTCTTTTAGAGATGCCAGAAGACCCAGGCTGAACAGAAGGGTTGTTCTGTAAATACATACTGTGTCTCTGTGTGGAGGTGGCTATCTTGGTAGAGGTGGGTCATTGAGTCTTCACGTCAGAGCCTCCAGTAAGGAGAAAAGCGAGAAGCACAGTTGTGATGTCTCCAAATCGTCTGAGACTAGCAGTCAGAGGCAGCAGTGCCTTGGATGATCTTGCACTGCAGATATATAACTATGAGGCTGTAGACACAGGAGTGACTAGGCACACTTGCACACCAGGCAGTGCACTGCTATTTTTCGGGTGGAATTCAAGACAAGTAGTAAATCTTTCAGGGTGCAGCTCAGGCCTCAGTAACATTTCTAGATGTTTGCTTTAACATAGCAAATCAAATCTTCATTTTTTATTTTTTTTTATAGTTTGAAACCATTTTAAGGCAACAAAACTGCAGTCTATTTTCACAGAAAGTATATAATCTCAACATGGCCCTTGAAGACTCTCTCAAATAAAAACATGTATTTGGATCCCCCATGTGGCTGCTTAGAAGTCCAACTAAAAAATGTTATGTTAAGATGGAAAATATCCTCCAGTCTTCTAGGTGTACCTGCTGAATATAGCAAACAGAGGCAGCATTTTTTTGATCACCTAGATCAGGGGTGCCCACAATTTTTGTGTTAAGATCTACTTTTCAAATGACGTGCTACATGAGATCTACCAACGAGAAAAAAAAAAACTTCCCTCGCTCCCTCTCCTGGCTGTCTCTCCTTGCTCATCCTCCTGTCTGTCTCTCCTTGCTCATCCTCCTGTCTGTCTCTCCTTGCTCATCCTCCTGTCTGTCTCTCCTTGCTCATCCTCCTGGCTGTCTCTCCTTGCTCATAACCCCTGACCTAGATTAATACTTTTTGCAGAACCGACTTCATGCCACAGTGAATCAATAGGCTAAATTAGTGTCAGAATTCTGCCACTATGTATCGGGGCTCAGCTCAGAAAAGCTGTATTCTTGGAACAAAATGTATACCTCTAATGTGTAAAAGTATTAGAATATGAAACTTTGGAGTAGAGAACACCGTCACATACAGAGCTTCTGAATAACTTTTATTTATGAACAGTATCCATCAATTCAGAGGGTATTTTTTAAGCATTTCTGTCATAGGAAAACTACCTGAGCTGCCATTGCTGGCCTTCTTTCCAATATGGTAGATGCCTGGCTATATTTGGCTTCAATACTTGAATTACAGAACTCTAAGCATGCAAGAAATAAATCAGAACAGACAGAACTGTCTATACTTGCTGATTTGCTTACCTTTTCTGGAGAAAAAGATGCTCTAGGCATATTTCATTGCTGGCTATATATGTGAAGACCTAGGCGCTAGGAGACATAATCCCTGCTGAAGAGGGGGATCAAACTGTTCTGCATGTCTGCACAGTTTACATGACCATGACATGCCAAGGATTAAGGACATCTGGCCAGCACTAAAGGAAGTCTGGAGCGGTATTTTATTCAGTGCTTTTCTATCCTTTTTAATGAGCAGATTCTTCCAATTTCCTCTCTGAATCTCTTTGGGAATGTACATTTCAGCATACAGCTAGACGTTGGTATAAATCTCCATATGTTGACCTGGTCTGGCAATAAATGCATAAATATGTTCGGCCAGTGCAGCTTAGATGTCTGAAATGATCTCAAGACGCCATTTTGTGTATGCTTGCGTACTTTCATTCTCAGCCGGCATCAGTCCCACATGCCTTAAAGTGAAAAGCTACATTTGTTTAGTAGAAAAGAAAGCAATCGACTCTAAGTCAATTATTCACCTCATAAGAAGTTCAAGAAATGTCATTGCAGATACTTAACTTATTCTTAAGCATCTATAAGGTCTCAAAGTAATATTTTTTTTGACCCCAGGGCTCTTAAAACTCTTAGTACTCGCTGATGCCGAATACCGGTACTTCTGCTAGCATGGAACCG